GGTTTTAATAAAAGGAAAAATGTAACAAAGGATACCACTGGAGTGAACTGGAGACAAGAAGGTTCAAAACAAGAGAGCCACAGGTCACAATAAAGACATCAATGGACCACGAAGGATTCTGGAAAACAACAGACAGGAACAAAGATAAGCACGCTGTCAACACAAAAGGTAAACAAACACACACCTTCACACATGACAACACACAAGGCAAGATACATAACATACAGGAGGAACACACAGATCCATAAACCGTGACAAAAACAAGCTTGACCAAAATAAAGTTTTCTAAGTGAAAAAATGCAATCACTTCTAGCTGCACTCCTAGTTACTTTGTTTTCAACTGATTTAAATTTCAAAGTCAGATAGAAGGGGAGGGGCTAAACCATGCATAATCTTGTAAACTACACAACCATTTTAAAACTTAGACTAGACTACAGCTAGCTAGGTAAAATGCATATTTATGAACCCCGATTTCTAAGTTGCAAAATTATTTTCATATTCTGGTAATTAAACGCTCCTCCATGAACCGCCAGCTTATCATGGTGGAGGGGTTTGAGTGCCTGAGTGATTATATGATTTATGTTGTTAGGGGCTAATGTCCTAGGCATTAGAATCTCTCAAGGCAAAAAGGTCTTAGGTGACAGGTCAGACTAAGTGAGGTTCAAAAACTCTGTATGAGTGCAAAAACAGTAACGACTGTGCTTGGACGTCGCCCGGTATGGTTACCCTGGACACAGGCCTGGGGGTTGGAGGTAATGGACACACAACATGCAAAAGAAGGAAACTTACAAGAGCATTGTTGAAGCTTAATCTGAAGATCCCTGGAAAACATTTTGTTTATTGATGAAGATTAGCCAGCAAATAGAACTCTGTTAGTCTTGTTTTTGTCTTTTGCAGATTAGTCTGGGGCATGTGGAGGAGTGGGAATCACACCTTAGCAATGACTAGAAAGTGATGGATGGATGGATGGATGGATGAATGAATTAATTAATAAATAGATGTCCTTCCAAGAGGAAGGGGGTGGTGGTGGGCTTAGATAGAAGTCTTGTCTGTTTCAAGTATTTCTTTTGCGAGTAATGGACACACAACAGGCAGAATGAGAGAACTCAAAACAGCATTAGTGGAGATTTATGTGAAGAATACTGATGAACAGCTTGTGCATTGCTGAAGCTCAGCAAGCATGTAGAGTTCTGTTAGTCCTGTCTTTGTCTTTTACAGACTATAGTGCAGCATGTGGAGAAAAATGGGAATCACACACCTCAGCAATGACTGGAAACGGATGGTCAATCCTGCAAAGGCAGAAGGATGGTTGCATAGATGGATGTCCCTCCTACAGGAAGTGGGTGGTGATGGGCATAGATTGTTAGATAGTGTATAGAGAAATGGTAATTAAACCTCAGCAGTGACTGGAAACTTATGCTCCGGTTAGGTGTTTACTGGATGGATGAACAAATAGATGTCCTTCCAAGAGGAAGGGGGTGGAGGTGGGCTTAGAAAGATAGATGTCTTTTTTAGATGACAGGTGGTCTTTTTACGGTAATGGACACACAACATGCAAAAAAAGGAAACTAACTAGAGCATCGGTGGATATTTATCTGAAGAACACTGGGAAACATCCCAGTTACAATTATAACCCACTTTCCCCAAAGATAAGAACAAAGATGTGTGTCTACCAACACTTTGTGAGTTTGCTAGATCAGGGATTCCCAAACTTTTTTATTCCAGGACCCTCCTAGGCAAGTAATTCAATCTCAAGACCCACCATAATATTTTAATATGGAAAAATGGGTAAAAAAATAATTATCCATTCAAAGCAGTCAAAAATATATGGTGTGTGGCTTTTTGGATTTTGCAATTTGATATGCACAAAATGAGGCTTGAAGTGCTTTTTGTGGGATGCTGGCTGTAACTGTGATAATTTTTTTGTTGAAAAAGATACTCTTCTTTTTTTTTAGAAGAGAATATGATCAACCTTTGATCAAGCCCCTTGATTATGATCAAGCCCTTCACATCGCAGTAAATTCCACTGCTAGTGTATAATCTCATAAGAAACTAAATAGCTTTTTGATCGACTACTACATGCTGGAAAAACGTCAGATAAATATGCCAATGCATAAACGTTATAGCTGAATAGATCTAATATTTACACATATGCTTGAGGAAGGAATGATGGGGGTAGTTACATTACTATTACTATTTCCCATAACATCTTTGCCCTTCCATAACATTAGGTGACGTTAAAACTAACAGATAGCACTATAGCTATTTATTGATTAGCAATCTGTCAACGTTGGGATGTAAAAAATATGGGGCAACACATACGTAGCTTCAAATGATAGAAAACATAGCAAACATTAGAAAATTTTGACAATAAAATAAAAGGTTTAGCCTATTAAAATCAATGGCCTATACAGAAATGAAATAAAGCTATAAAATCTCTTTCACTTTTAATTGTATTTGCATATTGATTAAAGTTACCATAGTTATTTAGTGAAGAGCAGCAAATGAATCTCATTGTGTTTTGTTTGATAACAGAGATGTTAATGTACGAATGTACCGATCTATAATGAAGCATTCGAGTACTTTAGTAACTTTTTGTGCTCATTTAAGAGAAAATTAGTAGGGTTTAAAATAAAACACGCAGGACGGAGCAAAAAAATGAAAAAAAATAAGCACTTTTCCGATGGTCCCTTACTGAGAGCTCCGCTCTGTGCGAGCTCTCCCGGCCAAACGCAGATTGTGAGGGCTCAAACAGAGCAGTGCTCGTAATGTCAAGCGAAAAAAAAGAAAAAGACAGCTGTGAAACATAACCAGTTTTGTCTTTTTGTAGGAAACACACTTTAGATATTTTTAGGGTAAGTGGTTTTTGAGTTATTGCCGTCAATCGTACTGGTGATTGCCTATGAGTTGGCAGAGCTCAGCTCCACCGGTGCTGGTGATTAATCATTAGTAGAGTATATAACCAACACATGCGGAGCAAGCCGCTAGACTTTTGCTGCTGAAGAGCTGAACACTCAGCTATGAGCTGGAGACCCAGCAGCTGTGGCAACAGAGGCACAGTTCCCATGGTTACACTCGAAACTGAAACTTTCCCCTCAGTGGGAGCTATGATGTGTGTCTACTGAAACTTTGTTAGTGTGTATGGAAAATGCCACAGTAGCTGAGCCCATCACACCCCTAATGTGAAGTTTGCCAAGCACAGCAAATGGGGGTCGTAAAAATGCTTTTTAACTAGCAAGCTGTAGTCTTGGGATTTTAAAGATATGACAGTGCGTTGGGAAAGCGTGCCAGTCCTGAAGAGGAAGGACACTGCAGAGGCCACCTGCTACCCAAGGGGAGAGTGACAATAGCCACGTTTCCACTATCGCGCCTTAAGCGAGCAAGCCAAAGCCTGTCGCATTTCTACTGTTACATCCGGGGCCTAATAGGGCCAAAGCGGGGCTTTCTCTGGGCCAGCGGCCGACCTTTTTTGGCCGGCCGAATACCTTGGGCCAAAGAGGGCCAGCTGGGGCTTCGGGGAGAAGTGAAAGGACAGGCGGAGTTTGCCCGTGTCTGTTAAATATGGCATGTGGTCATTACATTAGTTTTCCGATCGCACACGAGTACATGCGCCAAACAAATAAATTAATAAGGAAAAGAAAACATAGCTGGTCAGTTTAAGATAGGCTATTCCATAAAACATCTTTTAGGCTGGGGTCTTTTTGCTTATGATCGCCCTTATGTTTCCCTTTTAAATGTAAGGCTATTGCATAAAGTTTTAACTTGACATCTCTTTGCTGCGTCCTCCTCAATGTTTTAATAGCGCTTAATAATCTTTACACCATATTAATGACACAGCAGCCAGTAAAGGTTGTCAAAAGTTTTTGTCAAGTTTAAAAAGTGTGTTTGGGTATGATATTATGTGCGCATTGTAAGACCTGTGTGTGTGTGTGGTAGGTCAGGCAAAAGAGCACTCGGTTGACAGCTCTGTTGATGCTTCGAATGGCTTTTTCTTTCTTTCTTTTTTTTTTTTTGAAGATAATACAAAATATGAATACAACAGAAAGACATAAAATTTTTACAAACGTGTCCACTTTTGGAGGCTCAAAACACTAGTGTCATATTTCGATAAAATAGCCTAAGCTATCGGATATAATAAAATAACATTAAATAAATAAACCAATTGAAAACAAACAAAAACTAGTGTAACAATGGGAGTGACACAGACAGCAGAGGTGTGGATCCACGTGTAGGTTTATTCAGTGGTCAGGCAAGCAATGGTCAACACAGGTGCAAACAGATGTATGAAGGCAAACCAGAGTCGAAGTCAAATTAACAGGCAGATGGTCAGAGGCAGGCAGCAAACAGAATTAAATAAATAAACAAGGAAAGGATCAAAACACGGCAAAGGCAGACAAAGGAAACGCGTTGTAATGTCTCTGTGGCAGATAACAAGACTCTGCAATGTGAGTGAGTGTGCTGCTTAAATAGTGTGCAATCAGTCTCTGACAATCCTCAGTTGGTGCGAGTAATCAGTCTAGATAAGTCTAGATATCAGTCTAGATATAGTATGAATATGTAGTCCAGAAATGGCGGAATTGTAGTCAATGAGTTGTTGTAAGAGAGATCCAGCGATCTAAGGAGTTGTGATCGCTAGTGATTGTGACAGAACCCCCCCTTTAGGGAGTGGCTTCCAGACGCTCCTAATAATGTTCTGGCGGGAGGTGGAGCGGAGGCAGAAAAGGGGGAGGGATGGAGGGCCAGGACCATGCAGCTGGGGCATACCTGGGGTGTGGAACTGCGGAGGACCAGGAGCGCGGAGCTGCGTAGGGCCCGGAGCGTGGACCTGTGGAAGGCCCGGAGAGTGGAGCTGCAGAGGGCCCGGAGAGTGGAGCTGCGGAGGGCCCGGAGAGGGGAGCTGCGGAGGGCCCGGAGAGGGGAGCTGCAGAGGGCCTGGAGCGTGGAGCTGCGGAGGGCCTGGAGCGTGAAGCTGCGGAGGGCCTGGAGTGTGGAGCTGTGGTATGTCTGGGGGCTTGGTTTCAGCAGGCAAGGATGGGTCAAACACCCACAGTGGGTCGGGAGGCTTAGGTAACGGAGGCTCTGGCAGTTCATTCAACCCCAGTGGGTCAAGAGGCTTGGGAACAGGAGGCACCGGCAGTTCTTCAAACCCCAGTGGGTCAGGAGGCTTGGAAACAGGAGGTACTGGCAGTTCTTCAAACCCCAGTGGATCGGGAGGCTTAGGCTTAGCCTTAAAAAGCACTGGCAGTTCTTTCAACCCTAGTGGGTCAGGAGGCTTGGGCACAGGAGACACTGGCAGTTCTTTCAACCCTAGTGGGTCAGGAGGCTTGGGCACAGGAGGCACTGGCAGTTCTTCAAACCCCAGTGTGTCTAGAGGCCTGGGTACAGGAGGCACTGGTAGTTCTTTAAACCCCAGTGGGTCAGGATGCTCTGGGAGGTCACATGGCTCTGGGAAATCACATGGCACTGGCGGCTCTGAGTAGTCACACAGCTCTGGCTGCCATTCGTGGAACTGAGGTTGCGGTCATTCAGGAAACTCGGGCGGCGGCCATTCAGGAAGCTCAGGTGGCTATTCAGGAAGCTCAGGCGACGGCTGCGGCCATTCAGGAAGCTCAGGCGATGGTGGCGGCCATTGAGGAAGCTCAGGCGGCCATTGAGGAAGCTCAGGCGGCGGCCATTCAGGAAGCTCAGAAGGCGGCTGCGGCCATTCAGGAAGCTTAGGCGACGGCTGCGGCCATTCAGGAAGCTCAGGCGATGGTGGCGGCCATTGAGGAAGCTCAGGCGGCGGCCATTCAGGAAGCTCAGGTGGCGGCGGCCATTCAGGAAGCTGAGGCGAAGGCTGCGGTCATTCAGGAAGCTCAGGTGGCGGCGGCCATTCAGGAAGCTCAGGCGAAGGCTGCGGCCATTCAGGAAGCTTAGGCGACGGCTGCGGCTATTCAGGAAGCTCAGGTGACGGCCGCGGCCATTCAGGAAGCTCAGGCGACGGTGGCAGCCATTGAGGAAGCTCAGGCGGCGGCCATTCAGGAAGCTCAGGCGGCGGCCATTCAGGAAGCTCAGGCGATGGCCATTCAGGAAGCTCAGGTGGCAGCGGCCATTCAGGAAGCTCAAAAGGCAGTTCTGGCGGCAGTGGCTCTGGCAGCAGCTCTAGCAGTGGTAGCGGCTCTGGCAGTGGCAGTGGTTCTGGCAGTACTGGCAGCAGTGGTAGCTCTGGCAGGTCTGGCGGCAGTGGCTCTGATAGCAGCTCTGGCAGCTCTAGTAGTGGCAGCGGCTCTGGCAGTGGCAGTGGTTCTGGCAGTACTGGCAGCAGTGGCTCTAGCAGTGGCAGCGGATCTGGCAGCTCTGGCAGTGACTGATGATCTGGCAGCTCAGGAGAATGTGGCAGCTCTGGCAATGACTGAGGATCTGGCAGCTCTGGCAGTGACTGAGGATCTGGCAGCTCTGGCAGTGACTGAGGATCTGGCAGCTCTGGCAGTGTCTGAGGATCTGGCAGCTCTGGCAGTGACTGAGGATCTGGCAGCTCTGGAGGTAGCAGTGGCAGCTCTGGCAGTAACAGCTCTGGTGGTGGCAGCAGCTCTGGCAACTCTGGTGGTGGTGGCCATTCTAGGGGCTCAGGTGATGGCATTTTAGGAACTGGAACAGGAACTACGGCAGAAACAGACTCGGAACAAGAAGCCATCTTGTAAGCTGGTGGCAGATTGGCGCTTACCACATTGTTAGCTGGAGAGCTGGTTGTGACCCCTTTGTGAGCTGGAGGACTGGAGGCAGCCATTTTGTAAACTGGCAGACAGGAGGCGGCCATCTTGTGAGCTGGAGGACTAAAGGCAGCCATTTTGTGAACTGAAGGACTGTAGGCGGCCATCTTGTGAATTGGAGGACTGGAGACGGCCATCTTGTGAGCTGGAGGACTGAAGGTGGACATCTTGTAAGCTGGAGGCGGCCATGTTGAGAGCTGGCTGAGGTCTAGGCTGTTGAACAGGGGACAGGAGTACTGGAGATCCAAGCATAATAACATTACTAGGTGGGGCAGCAAGCCCCATTGCCGGTGGGTCTTGCTGTCCTTTGCCCCCCTCCAAAAAACATTTTGTGGTTTCCTCCACCTCACCCACGATGAAGGGGGACCCACTGAGTTCCAGTGCCAGATCTATATAATATTTTAGCGTCCCGTGGGGGTTGTGGCATGTTGGAATAAAGGGGCTCAGACAGTCCACTGTGAAAAAAGATCACAAGGCATAACTCACTCATTTTTGTTAGATGTGCCAGATTAATGAAGTCCTCCACGTACTCCTCGACAGACCATGCTTCCTGACGAAGACGCATGATTTTAATACCCGCTGGATCCATGTTGTGGCTGAGTCTTCTGTAACACTGGGAGTGACAGACAACAGAGGTGTGGATCCACGTGCAGGTTTATTCAGTGGTCAGGCAAGCAATGGTCAACACAGGTGCAAACAGACGTATGAAGGCAAACCAGAGTCGAAGTCAAATTAACAGGCAGATGGTCAGAGGCAGGCAGCAAACAGAATTAAATAAATAAACAAGGCAAGGATCAAAACGCGGTAAAGGCAGACAAAGGAAATGCGTTGTAATGTCACTGTGGCAGATAACAAGAATCGGCAATGTGAGTGAGTGTGCTGCTTAAATAGTGTGTGCAGTCAGTCTCTGACAATCCTCAGGTGGTGCGAGTAATCAGTCTAGATGAGGAAGCATGTGTAAGTGTGACCGGAGTGCATGTATGAATATGTAGTCCAGAAATGGCAGAATAGTAGTCAATGAGTTATTGTGAGAGAGATCCAGCGATCTAAGGAGTTGTGATCGCTGGTGATTGTGACAGCTAGCTATAACAATGTAGGTATATACAATACGTAAATTAAACCATTTTAAGCCATAACTTTCATTTTACAAAGGCCTCTCTTAAAAAACAATAAACACTGGAGGAGGTTTAAAATATTATTTATAAAGTATTTGGATACGGTGATATTGATCAAATCGTGCAAACAGAACATTTTTGGGGTGAGTGAAAGCAGAATCTAGCCTTACTTTTTTTCTGTCACTCAGTCCTGCGCAACACCGCTTTAAACGCATTGGAGAAAAGTCCAAACACAAAATGTGTTCTGTGTCCTCAAACAAGTGTTCATGTTTTTATATGATGTGGTAAAATTTATAAATGAAACTTTAAATGTAGAGCTTTATTAGTGAATAGCTCCAAATATTTTATTAGGCTACTTGCTATTATGTGCTGAAACACTTAACACGACGTCTATCAAAACAAGGATGTTATAAAATACATTTAATACCGAGTTATTACCCGCAAATTTCTTTGGTTTTATATTATGGATGGGCGCGCTCACTGCGCTGGCTCTCTCCATTAGTGGCGAGACTACTCTATGCCAACAATCGATCGGTGAATAACCGAATATAATGAATGGAAACACAGGCCTGTGCGTATAGACACATAATGTACTGCTGTACAGTAACGTGTCATTCGTTTGTTATGGTTGTCTTCATTTCAATGGTTTCGTGATGATGTAATGGTGTGCTTTATCTGCCTGATTCCTGCTGAAGTGGGCGGGTTGTGTGACGTTTTGATTCGGGGGATGTTCTGGGGGTGGAGTTTGCATGACGCGCTGTGATCTACTAGACAGTGGAAATGCGACATTATTCTGCCTCACTGCTCAACCTCCTGGGCGATTGGCCCGGCCCGACAGTGGAAATGAGACTAATATGAACATATGAGCTAGCCATATCCAGGGGGAGCGCTACACACAATAAGCTGGTTAGTGGGTAGGGAAGACACGGGTCTGCTTGAGAAGGGGGAACACTGCCTGGTTGAATGATGCATATGGGATCGCCACAGGAGCTCACGCATAGCTGGCACAGATCCACAGATACCAGACATGGTACTGGGCCAGGTAACTGGCCGAATTAGGTGCTGGGGGCCTCAGGGGAACTCTCTATGGTTCATTAGATGGGGAACTCACTTAACAGAGCACAATAAGCGCACTAAAGCATGTTAGGGAGCATGGTGCAGCAAGTGTATTTGACACTAAGCTCAGTTTCCTCCTGATTGGCCAGGGTTTCCCAGCAGTTTGGAAGAAACGAGCTCCACTCGAAGATTATTGGTGTTGCCCAGCTTCAACAAATATCTTTATGCCGACCACCATAACAGATAAAGAGCTGCTCAAAATAACATAAGAGTGGGCCGGCCAGAATTCCAGGCATGATTTGCTGACTGAAAAGGCCTCCAGATCGCTGACCCTCTTGATCGATGCCAACACAACTAGCAGAGCAGGTCTTTATGGACAGAATTTAAAAGTATAATGAGTCGAGTGGCTCAAACGAATCTCTGTGCAGACCCACTATGACTAGAGAGAGATCCCAAGAGGGAATTAGAGGGGCTGGATAAATTGCATTGTCTTGAGCCTCTGAGGAACTGGATGATTAGATTATGCTTCCCAAGTGTGCTGCCATCCACCGCTTCATGATGTGTGGAGTTGGCTGCAACATAGACCTTCAGTGTGAAGGGTGACGGCCTATGCTCCAATGTATTCTGAAAAAAGGTTAACAGCACTAATCGGGCAAATCTGGGGATCTTCTTGGCAAGAAGTACACCACTCAGTGAACAGGCTCTAATTATGGGCGTAGTCATGCCTCATAATGGGTACTCTAGCCTTAGTGATGGTGTTACCACCAACAACGGTAGGTCACCTAAGTCTTCTGAGCTCCATCTATAGACCACACGTGGAGTTTCCAGATGTCTGGGTGTGGGCGCCAGATGGTGCCCCATCTCTGAGAAAGAAGGTCCTTCCTTAAGGAAATATGCCAGGGAGGGGTCCATCATCCATCATCGTGAGGAGTGTGAGTTCGGAAACTCAGGTCCAGTTGGACCAGAGAGATGCAACTATCAAGACCCTCTCCTCATCCTCCCTGACCTTGCACAGAACCTGTATGAGTAGGCTTACTGGGGGAAATGCATATTTGCACATGCCTGGGGGCCAGCTGTGAAAAAGCACATCCATGCCGAGGGGGGCCTCATTTAAGGAATAAAACAGCTGGCAATATGTGTTTTCTGGAGAATCAGAAGGTTGACCTTGGCTTCCCTGAAGTGCTTCTATATCAGCTACTGCGCTGGGGTGAAGTCTCCCTTCTCCTCAAGATGTCAGCTACCATGAGAGTGCATTGGCTGCATAGTTGAGCTCGCTTGGGATGTGAATGGCACACAGCGATTTTAACCACGGGTGACTCCAGAGGAGCAGATGGGGATCAAGTTGAGAAATGTGATGGAGTATAGACCTCCCATATAGTTGATATACACCACCATTACCATGCTGTCCACCCTGACCAGCACATGTTTTTGCTCCAGTATCAGTAAGAAACGCAGAAAGCGAGAAACACTGACAACACTGTCTTGGTTGACCTGAAGCCCAAACTGGTCGAGTTGCTGGAGCACCATGTCCCTGTGCAGAATCAATTATTTTATTAATTT